CCTGACCACTTCCCTGTGCACCTGACCACTTCCCTGTTGGCTGGTGCAATACCGTGGTGAGCTGAAACCAAACCCCAGCTTAGGAAACAGGGTTATTCTTCATGTGGGTGACTCTGTGCCCATAGCATGGGAACAACAAGGAAATAAAAGTAATAATAATAATAAAAATTGAAAAAGTGATATCCGGGGGGTGAAGGAGGCCTACTATATGATCTCTGAAGATGATTTGACTTTGGGTGGTGGATTTTGTAACATAGATCCACACCTTAAACCTATATGATCCTATTAAGCAGTTACCCCCAATGAGTTTAATAAAAATAAATCAATATAAAAAATAAAAAAAACAACTGTGGACGAAGACTCTGGAGTGGGAGGGACAGTGGCATATTCTGGAACACAGGCAGGAAGGAGAGGATGGTGGGAGATGCAGCTAGAGAAGGAAAGGATGGATAAGGCCCAGCAGGCCATCCAAAGATTCCAGCATTATCCCCAAAAAAATCAAAAGACCCAGGAAGGTCCTTATTTGTTCTCGTTTGGTTTAGTTCCTTTGGCCTTGTGGCATGGCTAGGCCTATATTTTGAAAGCAGGAACTGCCTTTGTGGAGAATATTTGACATGCGGCCCCTGGCCAGCTGCAGGGCAAGACCCTGGGGACCCAGACACATAAGAAGGGAGCCTGGGCTGTAAGGTGGAACCTCAGGGGAGGCGTGCACATTGTGCGCAGAGAACAGACTGTTGACTGTGCCGCTGGATTGCCCTAGCAGGAAGGAGACTGCTCTGAACCCCACTTCCAACTGAACTGAACCCCAGTTCCGGGCTCATTGGGGGAGAACCTAAACTGTTTGGTAGCGGGCAAAACTCGAGGGCACCTTTCTCTCAGAGGTGCTTGCAGCGAATACCAAAGGACAATGAAGAACACTGAGACTCAGGAACCTCAAAGGGCAGGGCTGACAAAAGCCAAGGCTGTAGGCTCCACCCTGAAACTTTGCCCCATCCAAGCTGAACACAGAGACTTTTAAGGCTACCAACTCAGGGAAGCTGAGAAAATGCCGAGACATGGAAACAGATCACAAACGAAAGAAATGGAGGACAAAAAGTGACTGTATATAGAGTTCAAAACCACGCTTATAAGGTTTTTCAAGAATTTCCTAGAAAAGGCCGATAAGATAAATGAGACTTATGAGGATATGAAAAGGGATCAACTAGAAATAATAAAGATCAACTAGAAATAAAGAATACATTGTCAGAAATAAAAAATATTATACAGAGTCCTCAAAACAGAATGGAAGATCGCAAGAATCAAGTCAAAGATTTGGAACACAAAGAGCCAGTAGACACTCCTCCGCAAAAGCAAGAAGATAAGAGAATCCAGAAAGTTGAAGATAATGTAAGAAATCTCTGGGACAACTTCAAGTGAACCAACATCAGAATGATGGGGGTCCCAGAAGAAGAGAGAGAGCAAGATATCAAAAACATACTGAAAGAAATAGTGACAGAAAACTTCCCCCACAAATACGTAACCACCAACAAGTGAATCTAAAAACCAAGGGAATTAAAAAATCTGATGAACAATATTAACTGTTGAATATAATAGAATCAGAGGTATGGAAGGGGAGTGAACTGACGATTTTCAGGGAAAAGGGGAGAGAGGGGTGTGGGAAGAGATTGAACATAAACTGTGCACCTATGGATGAGGACAATGGGGGGTGGGGAAAGGGCAGAGGGTGGTGTGGGAACCTGGTGGAGGGGAGCAATGGAGGGAGGAAAAAAGGATGAACATTTGTAATAATATGAACAATAAAGATTTATTTTTTTTTTAAAGGCTAGTTAAAAAAGTCTTATGCTGGGCGGGGCTGACGAAAGCCAAAGCTGTAGGCTCCACCCTGAAACCCTGCCCCATCAGGAAAGCTGCCTGTGAAAATGCCTAAACCAAATAGGTCACAAACGAAAGAAATGGAGGACAAAAAGCGACTGGATATAGAGTTCAAAACCACACTTATAAGGTTTTTCAAGAGTTTCCTAGAAAAGGCCAATAAAATAAATGAGACTTATGAGGATATGAAAAGGGATCAACAAGAAATAAAGAATACATTGTCTGAAATAAAAAATATTATACAGAGTCCTAAAAACAGAATAGAAGATCGCAAGAATCAAGTCAAAGATTTGGAACATAAAGAGCCAGAAGACACTCCTCTGCAGAAGCTAGAAGGCAAGAGAATCCAGAAAATTGAAGATGATGTAAGAAACCTCTGGGACAACTTCAAACAATCCAACATCAGAATTATGGGGGTCCCAGAAGATAAGAGAGAGCAAGATATCGAAAATATACTGAAAGAAATAGTGACAGAAAACTTCCCCCACCTGGGGAAAGAATTGGACTTACAAGTCCAGGAAGCACACAGAACTCCAAATAAAAGGAATCCAAAGAGGACCACACCAAGACAAATCATAATTAAGATTCCAAGAGCAAAAGACAAACAGAGAATATTAAAAGCAGCAAGAGCTAAGCAGGTAGTCACCTATAAAGGAGCACCTATACGATTGTTTGCTGATTTCTCAACAGAAACCATGCAGGCCAGACGGGAATGGCAAGAAATATTCAAGGTGATGAATAGTAAGAACCTACAGCCAAAGATAATCTATCCAGCAAAGCTATCACTCAGATTTGAAGGTCAGATAAAGAGCTTCACTAATTAAAAAAAAGCTAAAGGAGTTCATCACCACCAAACCAGAATTATATGAATTGCTGAAGGGGGTTCTTTCAGAAGAGAAAGTAAATAAAGATAAAAATTATGAACAACAAATACGTAACTATCAACAAGTGAATCTAAAAACCAAGGAAATTTAAAAAAAAAATCTGAGGAACAATATTAACTGTTGAATATAATAGAATCAGAGGTATGGAAGGGAAGTGAACTGATGATTCTTGGGGAAAAGGGGAGAGGGGGATGTGGGAAGAGACTGAACATAAACTGTGCACCTATGGATGAGGACAATGTGGGGTGGGGAAAGGGCAGAGGATGGGGTGGGAAGGGGGGGAAGGAACATTTGTAATAATATGAACAATAAAAATTTATTTAAAAACTCAAAAAAAAAAGAAAAAAAAGAAACCGCATCGAAAAATAAAAAAATAAAATAAAATAAATAAAAATAAAAAAGTCTTATGCCCATTGAGCATACCTACTAAGCATAAAAATAAAGAAGTCAAACAGTATTTAGATACATGAGTCTGAAGCTGAAAATAAAGATAAAGATGTTTACATACGAAAACAAAACAAAAACTGTGGTACATCTATACAATGGAACTCTACGCTCCTGTAAAAAGGAAGGAACTCCCGAAACCGGTTTGGCTCAATAGATAGAGCGTCAGCTTGAAGGCTGAAGGGTCCCGGGTTTGATTCCCGTCAAGGGCATGTACCTTGGTTGCGGGCATATCCCCAGTAGGGGGTGTGCAAGAGGCAGCTGATTGATGACTCTCTCCATTGATGTTTCTAACTCTCTATCTCTCTTCCTTCCCCTCTACACAAAATCAATAAAATATATTAAAAAAAAAAAAAAAAAAGGAACTCCTACCATTTGCAACAGCATGGATGGACCTGGAGAGCATTATGTTAAGCTAAGTAAGCCAGTTGGAGAAAGATAAATATCACAAGACCTCATTCATTTGTGGAATATAATAAATAATATAAACCAATGAACAAAAATAGATCCAGAGACACAGAAGCATCGAACAGTCTGTCAAACCTCAAAGGAAAAGCAGGGGAGGTTAAAAAGGGTGGGGTAAAGCTGAAACCGTTTGGCTCAGTGGATAGAGCATCGGCCTGTGGACTGAAAGGTCCTGGTTCGATTACGGTCAAGGGCATGCACTGTGGTTGCGGACACATCCCCAGTGGGGGGTGTGCAGGAGGCAGCTGATCGATGTTTCTAACTCTCTATCCTTCTCTCTTCCTCTCTGTAAAAAATCAATAAAATATATAATTTTTAAAAAGGATGAGGTAATAGATCAACCAGAGGACTTGTATGCATGCATATAAGTATAACAAATGGCCGAAGCCGGTTTGGCTCAGTGATAGAGCGTCAGTCTGCAGACTGTAAGGTCCCAGGTTCGATTCCGGTCAAGGGCATGTACATTAGTTGTGGACATGTACATCTGTGCAAGAGGCAGCTGGTCGATGTTTCTCTCATTGATATTTCTAGCTCTCTATCTCTCTCCCTTCCTCTCTGTGAAAAATCAATAAAATATATATTTTTTTTAAATGGACACAGATAGTAGGGGAGTGAGGGCATGTGCTGGGGGTGGGGGTTTGAAAAGAGGTCAATGGGGGGAAAGGAGACATACTAGTATGTAATACTATAAACAATAAAGAATTTAAACTTTAAAAAAATAAAAAGAGAGACCTCAGAAGGAACCACATCCAGCAACACAGACCTCAGATTTCTGGCCTCCAGAATCATGAGAAAATCAATCTCTATTGTTTAGGCTACCCACTCTGTGGTATTTGTTACGGCAGCCCTAGCAAACTAATACACTTTGCAAAAAAAAAAAAATAAGTAAATAAATGAAGAATAAAACCTTTGGGAAAAGTAGATATACTATGTGGGAAAGCACGAGACTTGGATGGAAAGTCTGTAAGGAGGAATCTCGGGAAGGTTGAGGGCCTGTACGGGGGACCCTGCTGAAGATGGCAGCCCCTACCTTGACTTTTCCAAATAAGTCGGAGTCCCTGGGTGTATTACTGGAATCTCTATGTTTAGTCTTTAGACACGACCTTGTAGAAGTATGTGCTTTCTCAAGGATACTTACCCTGCTGATTGTATCTAAAGGTTAATTTGAGTTCAAGCTGTGATTATAATAAAAGCCTAAGAAGGCATGCAAGTGGGGCTGTTTGGTGCCAATAGCCAAGCAGTCCCTTAGCCTCTCTTTCTCAGAAATGAGTGTCAGACTAATCCATTTGCCCATCACTCAGCGTCTACAGTCAGTCCTGGCACATTAGATTTATTCTAATTGAAAGCAGAGTGGTGTATGATGGTAAAATTCAAACAAAAGAGCATTTCTTCAGTATTCCCAGCGATGGCTTCCACAACACATCTGTATTTTCCCTAAAATGAAGAATAAGAAACACAAGTGATATAAATATTATGTGCCTCTATTTTGAAAGACTTTTTTTTTATTACGAGGAGGAAGTCATTTAAATTGGATTGGTTATCATTTTCTCAGTTTTCTAATGAGATGAAATTTTATGTTTTTGAATTCAGCAGACCCAAAAAAAACTCATTTATTTTCCAAGTATGAGCATGTTTTTAACAACTTTTGAGACTAACCTATGAGATTTTTCAAACATTAAATGTCATTTGTAATCAGTAAAGAATATGCATTGTTAAAGTTTATTTTTAAATATTCACCCAAAGTGAAATGTGCAAAATTTTCATTGCTAGGTATCTAATGCAAACATCTAAAAGCACATGGTTATTATTCCTAGAGGCAGCTACGGAGTTCTGACAATGCTTTCACCCAGAAGTCATAATAGTGAGCATTTATTTGCATTACTTTTAGCCTTGTATGTTAGAGGGGGGAAAACATGATGTGAAAACGAGCTTTCTTTCATGTAAGTATTTTTTTATATATATTTCCATATTCTTCAGAAAGAAGAAATGGCAAAATATCCAACAGCAAATAAAAGTAGAGGAAAAATCTTGAATATCAATTTCTAGAAGCTGCACACTGCTTGTTCAAATTCTTCACACATCTGTTACTGCCAAAGATGAAGAAAGGACAAAATGACGCTTAGACAATACCTTAGAGAACAGGATGCCCCTGAAGGAGAATGGCACTGACGTATTCACAGTCTCTGCAAACAAAACACAAAAAACGGCATCACTAAGTGACTTTTTTTTTTTAAATATATTTTATTGATTTTTTACAGAGAGGAGGAGAGAGGGATAGAGAGCTAGAAACGTCGATGAGAGAGAAACATCGACCAGCTGCCTCTTGCACACCCCCTATTGGGGATGTGCCCGCAACCAAGGTACATGCCCCTGACCAGAATCGAACCTGGGACCTTTCAATCCACAGACCGACGCTCTACCACTGAGCCAAACCGGTTTCGGCACTATGTGACTTTTTTGATAGTACAGCATTCGCCTTTGACACTTCGACCACTGGCAGCAGCAGTCCAAACAAAATTGTAGAGAAACAATAAGTCTTATTCCCTGGCTCCCCTTCTCCCATGGCCCCTCTGCCACTGCAAGCCTCTCTCAGGACCAGCATTAGTACGGTAGATGCAAACTTTTAAGGCCCACTGGTCGCAATGGTGAATGAGTGATGAACAAGAGAGTGCTGATATGCTTCATTCCTAGTAATATATGCGCATATTTAATACTACTGCTCCTTTAGCAGGGTATAATAGAGAAGGACGATTATTTTAAAAGTAGATGTATCTGATATTAATTTGAATCCCAAACATTCAAGGATCTCATGGTGTTTCTTTTTTTTTTTTTTATTTATGAAGATTTTTTAAAATATTTTTAATTGATTTTAAAGAGAGAGGAAGATAGAGGGAGAGAGAGATAGAAACATTGATGAGAGAACCAGCATAAGGATGGGCTGCCTCCTGCACACCCCCTGCTAGGAATCAAGCCTGTAACCCTGGTCATGTGCTCTGATGGGGAACTGAGCCGGCAGCCTCTTGGTGCATGGGTTGACACTCAACCAACTTAGCCACACCAGTCAGGCAGCATCTGTGTTTCTTAAATCAGAATGTCCTCATTCTGGGCCCATATATCAGCTGTCAAATGGACATGTTTGTTTGAATGTTCCAAAATCACCTTAAGCTCAACATACCCAGATCAGAACTCATTATCGTTAAGAATTTGCCCCTTCTTTAGCATTAGAATTCCCAGTCCCATTAAACCTTACTAGTCTCTATTTCATCCCCACTACCACAATATTAATGCAGGCCCTCATTACTGTGAGCCTAGGATACCACCAAACTTCCTAATTTCTCTCCACTTCCCTTCTTCTGAGGCAGAGGATAAAGAACACTGAAGGTAGTGTTGCAACAAAATTGAGTAAGATTCCATGAAAAATAATAAATGTGATGTTTAGAAAAAGAGAACCATAACCGAGGGTAAATATACAAATATTATCTGAACAAAATAAAAATTCTAATATCCCTGTAAACACATGCTAGTGTCATCTTAATAATAATTCAATAACATAATTATAAAATTAAGTTGTTCAAACTGCTAAAAGTAAAAATTTTGAATGGGAATAAAGAGTTATTATCAGAAAAGGAACTTCACATTTTCAGTGTATTAAATTTTCATAACATTCTTATAAACTCTTATATTTTATTCTGAGAGTAATATAGATTAAATGCTTACCTCCCGGGGATCCAAGATGGCTGCGCCCAGGTGAACACATAGCCGCAGCCTCACACAACAATTTCAATAAAATACAACTAAAATATAAAACGGACATTACCCAGAACTAAAGTAAAGTTGACTGACTGGAAATTCTACAACGAGAAGCAAGGAGAAAACAAGAAGGAAGAACGGAGGAGCTGGAAAAGCCCAAGGTACGGAGACGCGGCGTGCGGAGAGGACGGAGCCGGAGAGGAGGGCGGCCGAGTGCCTGGCGGGCGTTCCCAAGCGGGAAGGAGATAAAACTCTGACTGTGCTGGGCCCCCGACTGCTCTAAACCCCAGTTCTGGGCCAGACCCCGGGGACCCAGGCTCAGCCATAGGGAGCCGGGCTGTAAGGCGGAACCCGGGGAAGTGGTGAAAGGAGGTCCCGGCGATGTGCGCGCAGAGAAGGGACGGTTGGCTGTGCCGCGGAAGTGCCTGGCGGGAAGGAGACTGGGGCTCCGGACTGCTCTGAACGCCACCTCCAACTGAACTGAACCCCAATACCTGGCTCATTGGGGGAGAGCCTAGACTGTTTGGCAGCAGGCGAAAATCGAGGGCACCTTTCTCTCAGAGGCGCCGGCAGCGAGCACTGAAGGACCCGCATAGGGCGGGGCTGACTGAAGCCAAAGCTGCAGGCTCCACCCTGAAACCCTGCCCCATCTGTAGCTGCTAAATGTGACAACGAAATAGATCACAAACAAAAGAAATGGAGGACAAAAAGCGTCTGGATATAGAGTTCAAATCTACACTTATAAGATTTTTCAAGAATTTCCTAGAAAAGATGGATAAGACCTATGAGGATATGAAAAGAGATCAACTAGAATTAATAAGGAGTCATCAAGAAATGATAAGGGATCAACAAGAAATAAAGAATACATTGTCTGAAATAAAAAATATTTTACAGAGTCCTAAAAACAGAAGGGAAGATCGCAAGAATCAAGTCAAAGATTTGGAACATAAAGAGCCAGAAGACACTCCTTCACAGAAGCTAGAAGGCAAGAAAATCCAGAAAATTGAAGATAATGTAAGAAACCTCTGGGACAACTTTAAGAGAACCAACATCAGAATTATGGGGGTCCCAGAAGATGAGAGAGAGCAAGATATCGAAAACATACTGAAAGAAATAGTGACAGAAAACTTCCCCCACATGGTGAAAGAATTAGACTTACATGTCCAGGAAGCGCACAGAACTCCAAACAAAAGGAATCCAAAGAGGACCACACCAAGACAAATCATAATTAAAATCCCAAGAGCAAAAGACAAAGAGAGAATATTAAAAGAAGCAAGAGCAAAGAAGGTAGTTACCTATAAAGGAGCACCTATACGATTGTCAGCTGACTTCTCAACAGAAACCATGCAGGCCAGACGGGGATGGCAAGAAATATTCAAGGTGATGAATAGTAAGAACCTACAGCCAAAGATAATCTACCCAGCAAAGCTATCACTCAGAATCGAAGGTCAGATAAAGAGCTTCACTAATAAAAAAAAGCTAAAGGAGTTCATCACCGCCAAACCAGAATTATATGAATTGCTGAAGGGGGTTCTTTCAGAAGAGAAAGTAAACAAAGATAAAAACTATTATATGAACAACAAATACGTAACTATCAACAAGTGAATCTAAAAACCAAGGAAATTAAAAACAAATCTGAGGAGCAATATTAACTGTTGAATATAATAGAATCAGAGGTATGGAAGGGGAGAGAACTGACGATTCTTGGGGAAAAGGGGAGAGGGGGATGTGGGAAGAGACTGAACATAAACTGTGCACCTATGGATGAAGACAATGGGGAGTGGGAAAAGGGCAGAGGGTGGGGTGGGAACCTGGTGGAGGAGAGCAATGGTGGGGAGGAAAAGAAGGAACATTTGTAATAATATGAACAATAAAAACTTACTTTAAAAAAAAAATATAAATAAATAAATAAATAAATACTTACCTCCCTTTAAAGCTCTGCAGAAAGAATAATCATCATCAGATCCTCGGCAAATGACTTGTTTGCGCATTGGAAAATTCATGGTGTTAAAAGATAAATACAGATTGAAATATAAATTTTTCATGTCTCTTCCTTAAAAAGAAAAAAAAATCCCATTAGCCTCTCAAATAAAGAGATTATTTTATAAAGAATCCTATCTAATAAAGAGGGACTATGCTAATTGACCATCACTCCATCACAAAGATGGCTGCACCCACAGCTGTCCCATTGGGCTAGATCACTATAAGGAGTTTAGCGGGCAATCAGCAGGGACCTGAGGCTACGCCCTACCCCGCCCCCATGGGGCTTGACAGGGGACCTCAAGCCATGCCCCCCACCCAGGCACCAGACCAGGGGACCTGAGATCATGTTCCCCCCACCCAGTGGGGCTTGATGGGGGACCTCAAGGTGGGCTTCCTGTTTTGGTGCTGGACTAGGGGACTTCAGGCAGCCCCAGCATCAGGCCGGATGACCTCAGGCTGCGCCCCTCCACCAAGTGGGCCTTGACAGGGGACTTCAGGCTGTGCCCCCCACCCCAGCACCAGGTCACACTGCACCTCCCGCCTGGCAGGGCTTGACGGGGAACCTCAAGCTGCCATGCCCACCCCAGCACTGGGCCTGGGGACCTTTGGTGCACCTCCCTGCCTGGCTTGGCTTGACAGGGAACCTCAGGCCGCACCTCCCGCCTTAGCACCAGGCTTGGGGACCTCAGGCCATGCCCTCCATTCTGGCGTCGGGCCATAGGACTTGAGGCTACAATCCCTGTCCAGCAGGGTTTGACAAGGGTGGGACTGGCCAGGTCTGGATCTAGCCCAATGGGTCTCACGTGATTTTGAGGCACATATGACTGGGTGGGGACTTGACTCTGGATCCCGTGGTGCGCCCAAGACTCTGACAGGGGGAAGTTTTCCGTATACCATTTACTAATTTTCTTTCATCTCTGACACTTTTATTATAGAGAAAGAGCAAAGAGCAATATTAAATTATTTTCTCTAATTAATCCCCTTTTAATGTGCCTGGATTTCATGTACCGGGACACTAGTAATTAATATTTATTATATACTTAAAATATGTCCTATGCTTTTGCAACATTATTTCATTTAATCATCACAACTACCTATAATGTGGGTATTGTGATCCTTATTCCTTAGATGAGAAAACTGGAGTTTTGAGAGGGTAACTAGTTGATTATAATCAAATAGAATATTCCACAGTAAGAATTATATGCTATGCCTAAAACTAGAGGAAATTATTTTTTAGAAAACTATCAAATGAAGACATAAAATTTTCTGTTCTAGTTACAAATCTCCTAGAAGTTCAAAGAAAAGAAAGGAAATAATGATAATTAACTCATGCCCACTTTTTAGTAGTTTTGATGACAGATTTCTTGGAGGATAAAATTAAACATTTTAATTAAAAATTAAGTGTATGAATCATTTATTATTTCCTCATGGTCTCCCTAATAATTAACATGAGAAGAGCCAGTAAACAATGCATTTTGCTCAATTCTTATATTATTCAGTTAGCCCAACTGGAAAAGATGTACAATTTTTTTATATAATGAAAATAGTTTATTGTAGCCACCATCTCAATGAAAGTATTTTCCTAGCCGAAACCGGTTTGGCTCAGTAGTAGAGCGTCGGTCTGCGGACTGAAAGGTCCCAGGTTCAATTCCGGTCAGGGGCATGTACGTTGGTTGCAGGCACATCCCCGGTGGGGGTGTGTGCAAGAGGCAGCTGGTCAATGTTTCTCTCTCATCAACGTTTCTAGCTCTCTATCTCTCTCCCTTCCTCTCTGTAAAAAATCAATAAAATATATTTTTTAAAAAAAATATATATATATATAATAATATATAATATATATATTTTTTTCCCTAATAAGGTCACCAGGGTTCATTGTAGCCATAACCAAAGGAAAAGTTTTCCAACCTTAACTTGAATTTGACTGTGCGTAACAGAGCTGCCGGCTCCTCCTCAAAACTCTCTCCTTGGTGTGGTGTCAGTGCTCCCACTCTCCTCTGGCTGTCCTTCAGCCCCCCTGACTCCTCCTCAGTCTAGTTCATTGACTCTCCTCCCTAAGGTTTCTATCCTCAGTTTTCCTCAATATTTACTCTGCACACTGAGATAGTAAGATTGTGGTCATTTGTTGCATAATAACAGAAAACTAATACATGTACATTTGGAACACAATCATTTGTCATCGATATCGCTTGGATTCTTTTAACTGATGTACATTAGTGAAACTTTGGACTTACTTGGAATGTAGGAAATAAGCAAATGTCCTCTGCTTCCCTTCAATTCTACACAGGGTTCACTTCTTACTGAGATAGGATAGTTCACGTTATCTAAATGGAATGAAGATAATGTCAATACATTATAATTTTCCAATAAAGTAAAATCTTCTGAAATTCACCCCCCAAATGATCCTTCAATATTAAAATTGAGATACTAAAATACTAATGAGAAAAGCTAATGTTGGTTAAAAATATCTCCCTCTCCAGAGGAGTGGCATCGCCAGATGGCACAGTAGAAAGTCCAAGACCCTTCTTTCCCCCACAAACTTCGAATTCAGCAACAGTTCGTGGATAAATTCCCTTTGTGAGAAATCAGAAACGAATCAGAAGTTTCCTGTGACCCAGGAGAATGCCAATCCAGACTCACTGACGTTGGTAGGGAGACTGGGGATACCCCCTCAACAAGGACCCTGAGCCTGGCACAGCAAAGACGGGAGAAGAATCCCCTAGCCTCAAGCTTCACTCGGGTTAATTCATGCATCCAGATGCCCAAATTTTCCAAGGGGGGGGGGGGTCCCAAAAGGACTGAAGAAATAGAAAGTTGGAATAGACCTAAAGCTAGTATGGGACTTGAATAAGGAATCACTTGTACAATCATCTGCTGAGCCCAGTTGGTGTGGCTCAGAGGTTGAGCTTCAGTCTGTCTATGAACCAGGAGATCACAGTTCGATTGCCAATCAGAGCACACGGCCCGGATTTTAGGCTTGATCCTCAATCGATGTTTCTTTCTAACTCTCACTCCCTTCCTCATGCTCTAAAAATCAATACAAACTTTTTTTTAAAATCAAAAGACAGCCCTACCTGGTTTGGCTCAGTGAATAGAGCATCAAATGGAAGGATTCCGGGTTCAATTTCGGTTAAGGGCACATGCCTGGGTTGTGGGCTCAATCCCCAGTAGAGGATGTGCAGGATGCAGCCAATCAATGCTTCTCTCTCATCATTGATGTGTCTACCTCGCCCCCTCCCTCTCCCTTCCTCTCTGGAAAAAAAAAAAATCAAAATCAAAAGACAAATCAGCTCAATTGGTTGGGTGTCATCCATGCACCAAAAGGTTGCGGGTTGATTTTCAGTCAGAGTATATGTCTGGGTTCCCAATAGGGGATGTGCAGGACACAGCCCATTGATTCACCCTTATATTGATGTTTCTTTCTCTCTCTCTCCCTCTCCCTTTCTCTAAAAATTAATTAAAATATTTTTAAATATATTTTATCGATTTTTTTTATAGAGAGGAAGGGAGAGGGATAGAGTTAGAAACATTGATCAGCTGCCTCCTACATACCCCCTACTAGGGATGTGCCCGAAACTAAAATACATGCCCTTGACTGGAATCGAACCTGGGACCCTTCAGGCTGCAGGCCGATGCTCTATCCACTGAACCGAACTGGTTAGGGTAATAAAAGTATTTTTTAAATATTTTTATTGATTTTTTACAGAGAAGAATGGAGAGGGATAGAGGGCCAGAAACACAGATGAGAGAGAAACATCTACCAGCTGCCTCCTGCACCCACACACACACACCCACTGGGGATGCGCCGGCAACCAAGGCACAAACCCTTGACCGGAATCGAACCTGGGACCCCTCAGTCGGCAGGCTGATGCTGTATCCACTGAGCCAAACCAGTTAGGGCAAAAATATTTTTTAAAAGACAAATCAAGTTATTGATACTAGGACCTTAATAATGGTCCTAGTATCAATAATTTGGGATATAAACAAATATTCCATATCAATAAGTGGGATATAAACAAAGGCCCCAGAAACTTAGCACAGAGAAGGTGGCATGATCAACGTGTAGGGCCTGGTGGACAGAGGAGCCTCTTTGGAAGGGGGAATAGACACTGATCTTGTAGGATGGAGAAATCCCAGAGCCAAGTTGAGAGGGAATTCAGCACAACCCACGAAGGTGAGATTGGTTTTGCTCTCACACCTGTCACTGATGCTAACTCCCCGGAAGTAACGTCTATTAGAGTTTGCCAGAGTGTATTTCTCAGGATAGTCAACACACACTCAAAAAATGAAATAAAATAAAACTGAAAACCTGGAGATTAAATAAGGTTTCTTCTTTCCAGAACTTCTTGGAACTCAACAGACATTTGTAATTCTCTCCCAAATGATTAAACCATAAATCCCCTTCCCCAAAGAATCTCAAAGAACTAGCACTTTGGCAAGCCTCTCTTTCAACCTCCCTGATATTATACCCAACCCGTGGGGACAGGGCAGTGGGAAGCAGCGAAGAAAGACAGTGGCCAGGCCCTGAAGTGGTACTTTCAGGAAAAGCAGTCTGGGTAGGGCCGTGATTGGAACAGTTCACAGCATTAGAGTAATCCTGGTTTTTTATAAGTACTCAAGACTGTTTCTGTGTGGCACTGTGTTAAAAATTTTACCTCAGATAGATTCTAAAATCACTTTCATTTTGCAGATTAAAATGCTGCAGCCCATCAAGAAATATATATATATAGCTGATCCGGCAAAAAAGAAAAAAGAAGGTATTTTTATTCATTCACACCAAAAGGCTATTGAATTGGCTGCTGTCAGTTTATTTGACAGTCTAAGCAGTGTTTCCCAAACTTCTCTCATGATGAGAATCACCTGGTGGAGTTGTTAAACTACAGATTCCTGAATTTTTGGGAACATATAGGTAAAATTGTTCTTAGAGCACTAGTTAAGAATACAATTTTACCTATATGTTCCCAAAAATTCTAGTTTAGCACTTCTTAGTTGGGATTCAGGAATCTGTAGTTTAACAATTCCACCAGGTGATTCTCATCATGAGAGAAATTTGGGAAACACTGGTCTAAGGGAAAAGAGGCCCATACCCCTGACTAAATAGCCAGCTGTTGCATGTTTTAAAAATTATTGTGGTGCAGCGGCTGAAAATCGCTGGCCACAATAATCCCTTCCAGGAGGCACCTGGGACTATGTTTCCTTGTCAAGAGGAACTAGTCTACGGGGCTGGACACAAAAGCTCAGAAGCAGACTGGGAGGGATCTGAGGCTAGGCTCCAGGTGGGGAAAGTTAACACAGGGAACCACAGAAGCACTTGGAGGTTTAGAGACTGGGGAGGCCTGTGAAGGATCGGGATAACCCACACAGGGAGGTCAACAGCCATCACTCTTGCTGCCGGCAGCAGCTGGAACACACTCTGCTTCCTGCGTCCCCGCCACAGCAGGAGGAGGTTCTTGTGAAAACACACCCTCAAAATAGTTGGCACTACAACTACCGGTTGCTGTGCACTTACCGCAGTAGGTGTACCAAAGGCTCACATCGGAGGAGTTGCAGACCCAGTACTGCTTCCCAGGTTCAGGCAACGTGGAAGGAAACAGGGTGGAAAGAA